TTGCTGCTCTTTCCTCCTTCACCTCCAGCCCCAACTCATCCATCCCTTACAGCTCAGGGGATCCCTCATCCAGTAATCCCAGATCCTCCATCACACCTAGTTCAGGCTCACCCTCAGGGCTGAGGGCCAGAGCCCCCTGCTGAGGCTCTAGCTGGAACATGTCTGATGAAGGTTGGGCTGGGCTCTGGCTCAGGATGTGGAATCGAAGATCTGAGTTGGCTGTGCCTGGAGCATCCGCATCCGAAGCCTCAAGGAAGAAGAAGGGAACACCTGGAGGGTGGAGGGAAAGGTGAACTGTGAGGGATGGCAGGGGAGGGAGGTTCCTATGCCTCCCCTATTTCTTCCTGGTTCTTCCATAACCATCGTTGAATCAGGATCCTGGAGGTGAACTACAGATTTTCAACACACTTCCCAGGAGGGCAAACTGAAGCTAAGAGTAAATGGGTCCCTCAGTGGCGTGGGAATGGTAAAGGACCAGACAGAAATGAGAGAGAGAAGCTTAGACCCTGCCTGCCTTGTCCTTGTGTCTCTTTATTCTGCTGTCCCATCAGGGCCCACCTGACCTTGCTGCATGCAAAGTGGCTGCTCTGGTCACTCACCGGGCTTGGTTCCCTGGCTGAGCTGAACTCTGTAGATGGCCTGGGAAAACTGGGGAACCTGATCATTCTCATCCTTCACATGCACAATCACAGGCTGTGGACCCCACAAGACCTTTCCATCTCCAGTCTCCAGGGTGACCTGGAAAGGAAGGGGAGTCAGTGCCTGGCCATACCTTTCCTGCTGTATCCTATACCGCAGCTATACCTGTAATTTGTATTCTGCCTGTTCCTCCCGGTCCAGGGCACCGGTCACCATAAGGAAGCCAGAGTCTAGATCCACAGCAAAGAGGCCCTTAGCTGCCATCTCAGAGTCCCCTGACAGCATAATCTGGCCTTCAGCCTTCTCATGGGGCAGCGGCAGCTAAAGGATGAGAACAAAGGTAAAAGAGGTGAGCTCCAGGTCTCAAGAATGTCCCTGTCACATAATGGCCTCATGTGTGGAAAAACTGTCTCAGAGAAGGCTGACATTTACATGAGGTCACACAGTCAGCAAGTAGCAGGACTGAGATTCAAAGTCAAAACTTTTTGCCTTGCATCTGAGTTCTCCATATTTCTTACCCCTCTTTCTAAAGTTGGAGCTTCCCACCAACATTTCATTCTTTAACTGAGACCCCTACTCTCATCTGAGTAACGTTATAACATATATGCTCCTGAAGGGAGGGCTTCAAAAGGGAGCTGGATCAAGACAGAGGAGTGGGAGGCTGAGGCAAGAGGATCATTGTGAGTTCGAGGCCAGCCTGGGCTACAAAGTAGATTCAGGGCCAGCCTGAACTACAGAGTGAGAACCTGCTGGAGGTGGGGAAGGAGGCCTTTGTGAGGAAGGGAAGCTCACCCAGCTCTCAGGCTCACCTTGATCAGGTACAAAGGGAAATTTCCGCCGTAGTTCTCAGGGACTTCCACAGACAGCTCCGCAGGCTGGGCCTCAGGGAAAGCCTGTAGGGAATTCTCACCTTGTCCCTCATAGCCATTCCACAGGTCATCCACTTTCTGTTTTTGACCTCCTAATTCCACAATGAACCCATAGCCCTGGTTCTGAGCCCACATCCCCACAGTCCTCTCATAGTCATGGTAGTTGGTCCAGGCAGAGTTAAGATCAAGGGCACCAATCCCTAAGGCCAGGACCTGAAGAAGGGGGTCAGGGCCCACTCACCTGGGGAATAGAGAAGCAAAGCAGCCAAAGCCAGGCAGGGATCATGGTCAGGATGGGCCTAAGGGACATGGCCATGAGGATCTGGCCAGATGGGTGGGAAGATTTCCATCCCATCCACACAGCCAAAGGAATCTTGCTACTGGTTAGCCCCGCTTCCTCCCCTATGACCCTGTAACTCCATGTTAGCTGCAAGGAAGTGTCCAGATCCACAGCCTGAACCAGCAAGGACCCCAGGCCCAGCCACTCCGCTACTTGGCTCTTGCTCCCACAATGACCTCCATGTGAATTTTACCTCCCTTTGTCTCCCACCAGAGCTTCTAGATCTCAAAGTCATAATTTTCCGGCAGCCTCTCAAATTGCAAAAGTTTGAGGCTGGAAAGCTGACTGTGAGAGTTCCTTCCTGTAACTGCCTCACATTGCAGGCAAGGCCTGAAGGGCAGGGCCTGGGCAAGGTCACAGAGGACTTGACAGGAGGGTTCCTTTTGGAAGAGGGGACCTGTGGCTGGAGGGCTGTCTTGCTTTCCACCGCCACCCTCCAGACATGGAGTGCCTTCAGGGAAGAAGCTCTGCCAGTATCATGGCATTTTCCAACACTCAACATAGAGCTCAGCATTAGGAGTGCAGACGCCATTGCAGGTTGGGTCCTTGGGGATTCTTTTCTGACAGTGAACAAGGGGAGGACAGGGCACTGTTCCCCTTCAATCCCACCCAGTTTTGGCCTGATCAATGCTGCTGTGCTCCTGGCCCCTCACTCACTGGTGTCAAAGGCGGCTCCTTGGGTCCAGCTGCCAAGAGGGAGGACTCCTTCTCCAGGGAGATCTGGTCTGCCTGGGCTGGACGTAGAAGGACAAGGCAGACACTTGAGCAGGAAGGCAGTCCAACTGCGCTTGCTCAGAAATCATCCCTGGGCCCACACAGCATGCCTGGCTCCACCTAGCCCCCCAGGTTACTCATTGACTTTAGGAAGCCGGGAGCTGCTCAGCATCCGTGACTGCCAGCCCCAGGAGGTGGGCAGATCATTGGCCTGGCAGCTTGACACAGACCAGTGGGCATAGAAGTCTGGCTGTTTCCTGTGGCTCCACTCAGTCCCACTTTCCCCCTGAGTACTGGCACCTGTAGCTGTACCTCTGTACACTCTGTTCCTTTTCCTTGGATTACCCTTCCCAGCCCTGCAGTGGTGTGGTAAGTACCTACTCATATTTCAGCATTCAGCTCAAATAGTTCCTTCTCCAGGAAAGTGCTTCGTACTCACTGGCTCAGGGAATGTCCCCATCCCATGCTCTGTGCTCCCTTTATCATTTTGCACAGGACACCAGCTAGTTTCCCATACATTAGATGAGGAGCCCTTTCAGGGTAAGACTTGAGGACCGAACCACGAGTTGGCCCTTATCCTGCCTCATAGCCCCTGACAGGCTTGGGGACCTCAGACAAGGCCTGGAGTGTGCATCAGATGTAGGGTGGATGGACAGTGCATGACCTGGGTATTAGGGACTTTAGACCACATGCAGGACCAGGGTTTGGGGAGAGAAGCCTGTGTACTCTCCTTAGCCCCCACTGAGTTTTCACACTGGCCCCCAGTCACTTACAGGACTGGGGCAATGGACTGTCTCACGCCTCTGACAAAGAATGAGTAGACTGAGCCAGCTCAGGTGACCTTGAGGGAGTGCAGGGCTGACTAGGGCACTTCCACCAGGCAGGCTGCCAAGCAGACTCAGGAGAAATTTCTGGGGCCTGGGAGTCTGAAATGATGGGGGATGGTGGGAAGGTCCCTGTTGCTCCCTGTCCTTAGAGCTCCTGGTGGACTTTGCTGGTGTCTCTTCATTGAGTATATGTTATTGCCTCTCAGGGTGGAAGCTGGGCTGGGACATCTCAGCTGCCCCAGTATTGTCATGAGCTAAACGCCTGTCTGGAGTCACTCAGTTACCAGCCTGGATCAAGGCTGTGTGGAATCTGTGCCGTGAAGGGGTTTAACATGTGTTGAGCTCCACTAGGCAGCTGGCACAGCTGTGAGCACACACCTTCATTACCCTACCCACTGTGTTCTGAAGGGTCCCTGTCCCCATGTACTCTGGGGCACAGAGAGGCTACGTAGTTTGCCTGGGATCACATCAATAAGCAACAGAGCCAGGAAAGCTGTGGTTTTTCTTCAGGCCAGGGGACACTCACTTCCTCTGAGGAAACCATGCCCCAAATGTACATCAAAGTGTTTTGGTGGCTGTGGCGGGTTGGGGTGGGGTGCAGGGAGTGGCAGCAGTTTTGAGAAATTAATACTTCTTTGGGCACATGGATGATTCTTAGAGGCTCCTGCTTTTGTCTCACACACAGAGAAGCAGCCCACAAAGCACCTGGTTTTTTTGAGGGGGGCAGTATAGGGAATTGAACCCAGGGCCTTTGTATACCTACAGTCCCTTTTAATTATTTTATTCTGAGATAAGTGCCTAAGCTGAGGTCAAACTTGATCCTCCTGCTTCAGCCTCCCAGAGTGCTGGGATTAATCATGCTTAGTTCAAACCTCCTCTTGAACAAGCTGTCTTCAGGGCTCTAACCAGGTCTTGAGGCTGTTAGAGGTCTGTAAATAAATGGAAGCAATGAAGAGATGTGTGGGTCCTGGCCTAGAATGTTCTCAGAATCTGTCATCTGTCTTGCCAGGGGTTGCCTCCAGGCTTTGGAGACAAGCAGATCTTATACCAGTCCCCGGTTCTCACCCGTCACCAAATGCAAAGGGTTGTTTCCAAAACCATGTGCAGTGGTCCTCTCTCATCCCCATGCTTAACAAATGAACCAGTGCCTTCTCCCACCCAGGTCCCCATGTCTCCCTACCCAGATGATTCCTGGGCCCTTAGGCAGGAACACAGAAGAAATGTCAGCTGCAGAACCAGACCCAGGCCTCTTGTGTGGCTGTGAGACCTAAGCCAAAGCATGCTTCCATGAGCAGCCTGTTTTCCTTTATCTACAGTGGGTTGATAGAGCTCTTAATCAGTTGAGCAATGCCAAAATCAGTGCAGAACAATGATCTGGATACCTTGAGCTTTGAGGGGTCCTCCTTTGAGCCCCCTAACCATGCTCCACCCCCTGTCCCCACCCCATCTATCCCTTCAGTCTAGCTGGCTAGACTGCCAAGTACTAGAATTAGATCATGAAGACCACATCAGGGTCCCACCAGAGTGGGGCAAGGGGTACAGTATCTCCCAGCTTCAGAAATCCTTCCTGTTTCTGAAGCCCTCAAACAAGAGGAAACAACAAGCCTGACATGTCAAGAAATAGTCTTTATTACAAAAATCTGTATGTAAACAAATAGCAAGAGCACTGAACAGCCTTCCTCCAGGCTCCAGTGCATGCACAGCTGGGTGTAGAGAAAAGCAGTCCCCATGCACAGGCCCTGGCTGCTGCTAGGATGCACATGGGCCTGCATATGCATCCCTGGGGGCCCAGCCCTCACTGGCCACTGAGAGTTGCCTCACTTTGCATCACTATCTGTCCATGACCTTTAGGAAAGGGAGGCCCAGTGGGCAGCTCCAAGGGGTGCAGACGCTCAGCCAGTCCTGAGGCACCAAGGGTGGTTGGCTGGACCAGCCCACCAACCCATCCATTCTTCTGCCTACCACAGGGAGAGGTCTTAGAGAACTGAGAGGTCGTGGCAGGACTTGGACTTGGCACGAAAGGCCATTTTGCGGCTGTTGCGTGCTACAATGCGGCCCAGGAAGCGCTTTGCCTTCTTGCCAAGGCTCTCTCGCCGCTGGGTACCAGCTTGCCGCCGGGCATTGGCTTCTTTGCTGTCCCTGCGCAGGCGTATCTGCCGCACGACACCTTCAAACAGTGCTTGGACATTGTGTTGTAACGCCGCTGATGTCTCGATGAACTTGCAGTCAAAGACCACAGCACAGGCCCGGCCCTCTGGTGTGATGGAGACAGGCACACACAGGTAAACAAAGGGTGGCAATGTAGGGCACTCACTCAAACCCTGGCCATCCCTGGCAGCTATCACCTAGGAATCCTTGAATAAGCCCTGGGCCCTTTTCCGAAACACAAAGTTCGTAGCTCCTGTACTGAAGATCCCTGACACTGCTGGGTTACTCCAAAGGGTGAATGTGCCTGTGCTTAGGGAGTTCCCAAAATGGTGGTGCAAAAAAAAGGAATTCATTTATTTATTTGAAATTCAATATTTAAATAAAAGCACTATAGTAGTCAACCAAGAAAAATGAAAACTATTTTGGACCGTTTAGTGTCTTACGATTTAATGCTATCTTATGCTAAATGACTCAGTGGACTGAGGAGAGAGGCAATATCACCAAGGCACTGGCAGTTTTCTCTGAGGGGGTCAGTGCTGGGGGCCACAGAGGAGGATGCTAAGCCCACGAGGGAAGGGTCAAGCTTATTCTGAGACTGGCTTCAGCCGGGAACCAGGCTCTTTTCTTCTGACCTGATTCCCCGTACTCTCTCCCACCAGTCAACCCCTAGCTGTTGGGTCAGGGCCACAGAGCTAGGGGAGGAGGACTCTAAGGTGAATCAGCCCCTTAGAAAGTCGAGTTCTTTCTCCAGGCCTTTGGGAGGGATAGCAGTCCCCTCTCTGCCTTTCTTCCCCTTCAAGTTTTCTTCCTTAACATTTTTAGCCACTGATGATCTCCAGGGACTCAGACTGAGCCAAGACTGACTGAACTGCCAACCAACCAGGTTCTCCCTCCCTTTGCTGACCTGCTGCCCACTTACCATCCACAGAAACTTCACGGGAGCGCACAAGATCACTCTTGTTGCCCACAAGGATGATGGGAACATCATCTGTCTGCCGTGCCCGCCGCAGCTGGACCCGAAGTTCTGAAGCCTTCTCGAAGCTGGCCTTGTCAGTGACTGAGTATACGATGACATATGCATCCCCCATGGCCATGCAGTGACCAGGCAACCATCGGCTTCCATCCTGCAGAGCACACACAGATGCACACACCTACCTAGCTATCCTTGTGCCCCTGCCTTGAACCTGTCACTCCTGGCAGGATCCCCTCCTCCAGGTCTCTCCTCCTACTTTGACCCTAGATCCCTGTTGATTCTTACCTGCTCCCAAATGTCATAGACCATGAGTGATGCTTCTTCTCCGTCCACCATGATGGAGCGATCATATGTGTGCCCTACACAAGAGGCCAGGAAACAGGTTACTGATTGGCTGTCAATCCAATGCTCCACTGCTCCTTTTCTTGTTCTGTTTATACCTCCCAATCCTCCTCAGAGCCCCTTTCGCTAGCATGATGATACTACAGGCAATGGAAGGGACAGTGCTGGGGGCTGGTAGATGCATGGCATGGTATGCCCAAGCTTCCCACATGTCCCCAAGATAGCAATGTCCTAGGGGTCCTCTCCAGTGCTCCCTGCCTCCCTGATGCCTGGCCCTAAGGTGACTATCACAATGTCCTGAGTTAGAACAGTGACTACCACAACACTTGGAGGGCCCTGACCATCTAGGGCTCTGCTCCTAGAAACTCCCTCTGGTTCTGCCAACCCCAGCAGAGAGCCATGTCTAGTCCCTATGCTATAGAGCAGTCAGAACCAAGCCTCGGGTCTTCTATTTTGGGCATTTCTCCCATACCAATGGTTGGCATGTGGGGTATAGGGATGGCGTCCGGTTTCCTTTAGTTTCCCCATCTTGAAATGGGAAGGCAGAGACATAATTTTGACAGTGCATTCACAATACCATGGTGTTGGCCCATTTGGTCCAGTTCCTAGCCTCACTGCACTCTTTTCCTTTGTCCTGGTATTTCCTCTCCCCTGAACAGCCTCCCCGGTGTCCTGGGGATTTCCTCTCCCGCGAACAGCCTATCTCCTCACCTGCAGCCTCTGCTTCAGGGCCGTCCTCTACACCACCGAAGATGCGCGCCAGGGCGCTCTTGCCCACGCCAGCGGCCCCCAGAAGCAGCACTTTGTATACGCTTTCGTCGGAGCTGCTGCCCCCCGAACTGAGAGAGTCGGAGGAGCCCTCTGCCCAGTCCAGCCTTGGACCCTGGGTCACCGTGCTGGAGCCAGCCACGCTTGCAGCCCGGGCGCCCGGAGTCAGCGCCGCCTGCAGGTCGCGATCGTCCACCGGCATGCTGCGGCGGTGCATTGGGGGCGCCGCGCCCCAAGGGGTGCTGCCCCGACGGCGCTCGCGCTCCTTGCCCGCGCCCCGGCTCCCGCCTGCCCCGCTGCCGCCACCGCCGTTCAGGGTCATCGTGTCTGATGTGCAGTCTGGAGGACCAGAAACCCGGATGGCCTCGTAAGCTACAGGAGGGAGGGACGGGCGGAAACCTACTCCCAGCCACAGGGTCTTTGCACCCTAATCTGTGCCCCACCCCGGGCCTCATTTGTCCACCCACGGTGCGGCCCGCCCCTCTCCATCTGGACACTCACCCACTCGCACACAGGCACCTTCAGGACCAGGACCTGGACTCTGATATAGCCCACGGAAGGTTCAGATACAATCAAATCGCGAACCCGGGTTCCCACAGACGGACCTTCGCTGCCGCTGCAGCTGGTACCTTCCTTCTCTGCAGCTTCCTCGGTGGGCTGTGGGTCCCCGGCTCCAGAGCCGCTTATTTAAACCCCCGCCCGCCCCCGCCCCGCCCCCATCCCCGCCTCTGCGGGGGCTGACGTGTCCGCCCTTCTTCCCCCGCCCCGCGGGAATCCCCCACCTCCTCCTGGGACTTAGAGCTGGCGGAGACTACCCCCCCAACCCGCCACCCCGCCGCGTGCCAGGGGCGGGGCAGGAAGCCAGCGGCCCAGGCTTGAGAGTAAAATGGGAGAGAAGAGGAGAGGGAGTTCGATGCGGGGCGGGGAGACTCGAAGAAGAGGCAGGCAGAGGGTAAACTGGACTAGTCAAATCTAATTCCTTCCCTCTGAGGAGTTAGATCTGGCCCTTTAAGAGCAAATTCTGTCTCCCGGACCGGGACTCTTGCCCAAGCCAGTCCTTTTCACTCTCCTTTTGGTCCTGGGGAGTTGAAGATTCTCCCTAAGGTGAGAGTTGCCTTTCAGAGAGTTGGTGTCACCTATGAACCCCTAGAGGCCATCAGAAACTGTTGGGAAGAGGCCTTGAATTGTACCCTCCCAGCAGCTGCCAGCAACTCTACTAAAAATATCTGCCCCTGACCTGGCCTGGTCATTCTGCTCCTGGGCTGGAGGTTGTCCAGAATTGGGGAATCCAGGCAGCCAGCGTGGGGTGCCAACAGGAGCCAGTCACTTCAGTCTGCAAAGTTTCTTTGCTCCCTAGCTCACTTCCCACCAGGAGAGGCATAAATGCAGTGTGGTGGTCTTAATCAACACAGATGCCATACTCTGTCCAGACCTCACTCTCCTTTGGACCTAATGTTGGGTCTAGGGGCACAAAGAGAAGGGGACGTAATGGGAGCCTCGGAGTCTAGTTCCAGCTCTGCCTCCAGGCCACTGAGTTTTGCCCATCTCCCAGCTTCAGTGTGCTGAGCAATATATTGGACATCATGCCCTTCTATTCTCTCCTTACTCATCTTTGGGGTGTGTGAGGTTTGAAAGTGGATAAGCTATGGAGTAATCTGCAACAAGGATTTGCTATCAGACTCTGATGTTTGACTATGATGAATGTGGTACAGGTTGGAGGACACCCATTTGGTGCTCAGGTGACATCACAGATGGATGGACCCTAGTGGGCTGTTGCAGGTTGTCATGGAAACCTGGGCCAGATTCTGGCTGCTATGTCAGTTTCCTTGGCAACAGCAAAGAAAGCCTTGAATTGAAAAGGGCCTAACTAGATAAGGTTAGGGAGTTCATGCAGGACAACCTATGGTGGCCTTGGTTTCCTGGATGAGGAATTGTGGGAAAAGAGAGGCATGGGCCCAGCTCCTGTCAGGACAGGAGTCTCAAGGGCCAGCACAGCACATCAAGAGCCTTGGCTATTTATGCCAAGCCCCCCTCCCTCTTCCTCCTGCCTGCCCAGCACACACACTGTGTTCTGGAAAGAGCCCCTCAATGTCTAGCACAGTGTTTGGCAGAGTGTGAGTTTGCGGGTAGCTGTGGCCCTTCCCAGCAGGGGACCGGGCTGGGGAACCTGGCTTTCCCCTCTGGTAATCTGAGCTCTTGACCTCAGCAGTTGTGTTTTCATTGCCAGGGGAACTGCATCCACACAGGGCTACTCAGATCCCAGGAATTCTGGTGGCTGCCTCAACGGGTCAGAGACACTCATCACAAGGCTGGGTATGGCCAGGGCTCCCAGGATCCAACATTTGGGCATGACCTTGAGATACCCGCTCTCCTATTTCCTAGCCCTCCCAGCTCTCTGGAATGAACCTGGCTATTAAGAAGCAAAAAACAGACTGGAATCAGAACCAGGACCTTCTGTCCTTTTCTAGCTATGTTTCATTCCCGTCCATTTATCCCAGCTGAGTCCATTTCCTTTCCAGGGGGTTGTTCTGAGACATAAAATAACACAAAATGCGGAGGTAAGGTAGTTGACTCCAGTCTGGCACATGGTGAAATTTCAGCAAGAATATTTCTACTATTACCCTTGGTTGGATGGGCAGACTGAGTGAATCTGAGGGCCCTCTCCATTCTCTCCAGGATAGTAGTGTACACAGGAAAAGGGAAAAGATCTTAGGAATAATGCAGATAATTCTGTCCCGTCCCTCTCTTCTCTGTGGGATTCCACATTTTCCTTCCTCTTTTAGACAACAAAATGCTGCAGAAAGAACTCAGTGAGGCTTCCACGGTCCTATCCCTTCTGGTACCACAGCCCTTCTGCCCCAGGGCCTCTGCATTGCTTCAAGGCTTCATTTATTTATACCACTGACTGATACAAACAGTACCTACTGTGTGTCTGGCCCTTGTGTTGCCAGTAGGATGATGAGTGAAAATAGACAGGGCTGGGCACATTCATATGTATCATCTGATCCCTGGATCAATCTTTTTAGCTATGGTTTGTTGTTCCCATTTTGTAGACACAGTAATCAAGGCCTGAGGGGTCATGGTTAGAAACAAGGGGCAGAAATATCTAGTGAGAGTTTCAGAGACCTGAAGTTTTGCCACCTCCCTATATCTCTGTGTCCTCACATAGCAGCTGGGGTTCCAGAAAGTTCCTTGGGCAGTGGCTCAGTATGCACAGATGGTGTCCTGCAGGCAACCAGCAGCCAGGCACAGATGAGTCAATACTGCAAGTAGACTATTTGAAATACCAGTAGTGGCATGAGCAAGCTGGTGTCCCTTAACCACTGTGGCCAGAGGAATGACTCAGAAACACCTGTCTCACTTATTACCCCCACACCCAGCTGGACACAGACACCACAGCCACTTTACACAGATGGGGGTCTGTCAGGGCAGAGGTTCACATGTGGTGAGGCCTACAGCGTGGGAAGGCTCCCGGGGACCTGATCATCCCGGTCAGTCACCCTGCTTCTCTGGAGCACACAGCTCCTTCATCTGTGGAAATGGGGGATCTAATGACTGGAGTCATCTGCAACTGGCCTGGGCCATTTTACACACAGAGCAGTCTCAAGGGGATTGACAGGGTTCTTCAGGATCCTTTTAGCACAGAAAGCTTTAGCAGTGCCCTGCCTGGGGCACTGCTGGGGACCAGACTAGGTGATTAGCTTGTTCTGCATTACCACCATCAGGATAAGCTGGCATCACAATCTACTCACGGGTATTACAAGATACATATGATCCTGGGCAAAAATCCTCCTCGAATTTGAACTCATTCTGGCCTCTAGACCAATCTTTAATTACAGGAAACACAGAGGACAAAGAAATCAGCTTGTAAGGCTTCTCCTGGACAACTCACCTGTTTTTTTTTTCGAAAAAAGTCAATGTCCTAGCCAGGCATGGTGGCCCATGCCTATAATCCTCAGAGGCTGAGGCAGGAGGATCACTGTGAGTTCAAGACCAGCTTGGGCTACAAAGTGAGCTCAAGGCCAGCCTTAACTGCATAATGAGACCATCTCAAAAAGCCAAAAAAAAAAAAAAAAAAAAAAAGTCAATTTCAAAAATACAATGGTGCCTGGTATTGGGGCACATGCCTGTACTCCCAGCACACAGGAAGTTAAGGCAGGAGGATCTTTACAAGTTCAAGGCCAGCCTGAACTACATAGACACCAGTCTGACCTACTAGTGAGACCCTAAGAAAACCAAAAGTACATACTATAGATTAGATGTGGAAATGTCCCTCAAAGACACATGGGTTAAAAGCTTGTTCCCCAGAATGGCACTATTGGGGGGTAGAACCTTTAAAAGTTGGGGCCTATTGGGAAGTCTTCAGGTTGTCAGAAGGGTGCCAGTCCTTTTCTTACTCTTTTTTGCTTCTTGACCATAAAGTGAGTGGCTTTGCTCTGCCATGCCCTCTCCATCATGATCAGTCACAGGTCCAAAAGCAATGGGACCAACCATGGACTGAAACCTTTACATTTGGGAGCCAAAATAAATCTGATCTCTAAATTGATTATCTTTGGTTTTTGGTATAGTGAGGAGAAGCTGAGACAATTATAGAAGAAGCTAAAGAGAGACAACAACCAAGTGCAATATATGACAAGCCTTGAGTGGAACCTGATTTAAAAAATGGACTATTACTAAAAATGCCTTTTGGGGGAAATTCATATATGGCTGGATATGAGTTGAGGAATTGTTCATTTTTTGGGAGGGGCAGGTAAAAGTATTATAGTTCTACTAACTTATCTAATGCAGATGTAGGACACAATACTTGAAAGAAAAGGGTCATGTCTCTACAGGTTACTCTCCAATATACAGAATTCATATTTATACATACATATAAATAAAGCCAGTGTTTTAAAAAGTCAGTACTGAAATATAGTGGTAGATTATTGGGTATACACATACATTCATGTACTACTTTCAATACTTTTTGTATACTTCCAAGTTTTCCTAATCAAAATACTGGGAGAAAATTTAAAAATTAATGAAACCACAGTACACTTTTCTGCATACAACAACCACTATCTTCTCCCAAATCCTAGTGACTCCACCAAGATGAAAGATACAAGACACACCAGGAAATGAATATAAATTAAGGTTTTATTACAAAAAACAAAATGTTAGTTCCTCATTGTCAGTGATTCAGGAAAACAAAGCCCTGAGCTCCAGGTGAAGCTGAGGTTAGGACACTGGTGCATAGTGAAGGACAAACAAAGCTCAGGAGCGGGCCGACAGGCACTGATTCACAACCTCCAGCAGGTGGGTGTTCTCCAAAGCAGCTGCCACTCGCTCCTTATCTGCAAGCTGTTTGTTCACTAAGTGGGAAGGAAGAACATGAAAGGCAGAATCAAAGGCAGGTTCTGGCCAGGTTGCTAACCAAGCCCATTTCTATGCCTTAGTATACTATGTCCACCAATATGGCTCTCCTATTTCCTTCTGTTGATTAGCCTAAACCCACTACCTGAGCCCCTATCTATTTTGCCTTCTTACCACCCTCTTCCACCTGGCTGCTCATGTCTGCTTCCAGTACTACTGAAGCCTGACACACTTGTACTAGGGGAGTATAAGATGGGAGTACATGAAAAGCAGAAGACTTGGGTCAGGCTACATTTGGTCTAGGCTACCACCTTCACTGAAGAGTCTCTGGCAATTTCACTCACCTAGTCCTCAACATTAATCCTGTCTTATAGGCATGACAATCTACTCATGGGTATTACAGGATACATATGACCCTTCTCAAAGTTGAATTCAAAGCACTGTAGCAAGGGGGAAGTCTCAAGACAATGTAAGACTGTAAAGACATCACTGATGCCACCAGCTCACACTTACCTGCATGTTCCGAGGCATGGGTCCCTGGAGTAATGTGCACATCCATCTGGGAGGGAGAAAATTTAAGCCTGAGCATTCATTCACCTACCTTTTGCTCCCTCCCTTGCAGGCCCTGGGGCAGCACCTCTCATACTTCCTTCTACTCACACCTCTGGACTACCTCTTCCATTACATTCCAAATCCACCCACTGCCACTACAATTCTATCCAAATCACAGGCTATCCTTGACCCAAATCCCTCTACAACTCCTTACTTCCTTTCCTGCCACATTCACTACTTTTTTGCACTTTCCAGTCATTATTTTTATTCTTGTCACATTAAACTGCAAAGTTTCCTCCATTAGATTTCTGCTAGTTGCAATCTTTCTAGACCTCATCCTGATGTTATTGCTCTATCTTATGTCCTCAGCACCAGACCCTTACACCTGTTTTACCCTTTAGGTTCAACTCCAACTGACCTTGAAACGCTGGGGGAGAGAGCGCAGAAGCTTGACTTTGATGGACAGGCCAATAAGAGTGGCCATGCTGCAGTGTGGAATTGTGGGTGTAAAGGCCACGGCCACTGTGCTGTCGGGGTCACTAACCTGGTAATGGTGAGAAAAAGATGTCAGGAGACCACGGACACCTCCAACCCTAAAGGTCTCTTCTTTGTTGCGTTGGGCAAATCGTCTATCCTATACGGGCTTCTGTTTCAATATTCATAAAATGGGCACATGAATCTTCCTCCGAAGATCCTTCTAGGTGTCCGTGAGCTCCACTTCACGGGCAATGGAGTCTAACTGTCCCGAACAAGTTGCTCTTGTCACTGAAAGTAACTCACCTGAACCCTAACTTGCTCTACTACGTTCAATTCCTCCAGCGTCAGTGGATGCTCCGGATCATTGATGCAGCGAATCAGATGTGTCAAGTGAAGGAAAAAGGGCTTTACGTTTTTCCCTACTCAAAACCCACGGCCAGGGATGACTGGGATTATTTCTCCGCCAACGGCTGGATCTTAAAGACACATCTTCCCAAAGATCCGCAAACCCGCCCCCCACAGCGGCGGATATCAAAGATCTCGCGCGCGTCGATGATGTCCGGAACCTGCTCGTCTTCCTCGCCCGCTGTCACAGGCCGCTCCCCAGAACGCTCGTAGATGAGTGGGTTAGCGTTCTCCAGAAGGCCACTGCCCACCCCGCCACCACCTCCACCCCCACCTGCACCTCCGCCGAGGCCCACCATCCCGGAACCACTGTCAACCCCAGTTTGTATATACTTCCGCTTCAACCTGCGCACGTCCTGGGAACAGGAAGAGGCGTGGCGTAGCTACGGGGTCGTACGAGGCACATTCGGCGTTTCCTGCGCTCAGGCGCGACTTTAATAGAACTGGTGGTTTTGGCGTGCAGACCGCTCGCATTCAGAACAATGAGAAGGAACCCTAAGACACTGAGCCGTGTGAGCCCATTGGAAACTGTGATATAGAGACCAAGGACAGTTGTCCTGGGATACTTAAGAGCAGTCCGAGGTTGAGCCCCACACCCCTTTCTCCGGGAAGTTAGGCAGAGCTGGAGCTCAGGTGCCCAGGCTGACTTCCCTCTGTTAGGGCAAGGTTCTCCGTATTTAGAAGTCTCCTAATGATTTCCTGCCTGCCCCATAGAACCATAGGTCCTGGAATTACCTGCCAGGAACATGATTTGGGATCTGGCAGGTAATTATTAGGCGAATCAGTGACAGTGAAGTCGACCTCGACTGGAGAGAGTACTGTGAAACCCTTCCCAGACCCTGCCTGAGTGAGTCATTAAGAAGTGCCACATTCACGTATGCATTTCAAAAGTAGAGCAGATACTGAGAGCCAGAAGAACCGGCACTCTCTCAGACCACGGACTATAAAGGAGGACGGACCTGTGAAATGGGACCCAGTAAAATATGGGTCTGAGTCCTGAGTCTCAGTCCAGAAAGCAAGGAGGCGCTGTCAGGATGAAGGTCACAGTCACAACTCCCTGCCTATGTTCAAGTCCTTCCATTCTTCCAAACCGACATTCGATTCCCTTCTCCATCTTTGGGGGTCTGCATCCCAAAGCTCTTCAGGCAGCACTCCTGGGGTCTCCAGTTACCACCTCTTGTTCCCTCCTCTTGACTCTCACCATTCTCTTCCAGTCTGTGACTGCAAAGACAGTAGGCATAGTGGCTTCAGTTTTGAGAAGAGGGGTTCCTGGTAGCTCACAAAGACTGCAGAAGAGGAGGTCACCTTTGAGGAGGTCAAAGAGAGCCACAGTGAGGTGGCCGTGCTCCACCTCTGGCTCCTGGCTCCCTGGATCTCTGTCTACCTCTTGTGCATTCTTCAACATCCACCCTGCCCTAGTGGCTTCAGTTTTGAGAAGAGGGGTTCCTGGTAGCTCACAAAGACTGCAGAAGAGGAGGTCACCTTTGAGGAGGTCAAAGAGAGCCACAGTGAGGTGGCCGTGCTCCACCTCTGGCTCCTGGCTCCCTGGATCTCTGTCTACCTCTTGTGCATTCTTCAACATCCACCCTGCCCTACCCACCCTGCCCTACCCACTCAATGCCCTGCCTACTTCCTGGGAGGTTCAAACTCCATCCAGGACCAACCCATGCTTCTGTTTCTTGGTGAAACACAGCTCACTGCATAGCAGAACAGAAACTGGCCTGCAAACAGACATGCAGATGGACAAGCTTCCTGCGTGGCTGAACTCTGTGATCTGTGGGCTCCTGCTTCTCTTCATCTGCAGCCAAGGTGAGATCCCTTTAGGGGGTGATAAGGACTGAGGTCTCATTTGCAAACTGCAGAGGGAGAACCTGACTCAATGGATGTGAAGTTCCAGGGAGGGAAGTGTTGGTGGAGATGACAGACTATATTGTGGGAATCCAGGGCCCACTGAACACCCCAACCTGGTAAGTGCCCATTGTGAGTCTTGGAAGAATAGAAAGGGTTAGAGCTAAGGATATACAATACTTTAGAGGGAGGCAAGTATGAGAGCTGTGAGGATTACCGGGAAGGCAGGTCAGAAGCTTCCTGAAAGGGAGCTGGAATTCTGGACATTTCAGCCCTGTATGTGTAGCTGTTGTGATAGCTGATCCTGGCCCTCAGGTGTAAGAACAATTACAGCAATAGCTTCCTGATGCCATTGGCTTCTAAGAATGATACCACCTTTGCTAGAGAAGTACCCTGAAATTCTATGGAGGTGCTTCAGGCAAATTTACTGGCTTTGAAAAAGACAGAAGCCCCAGCCACCATATCCCAATGCTGAACTGTGAGAGTTCTGGGTTCCTTTCTCTCCATGTCCCAACCTACGGAAAAGCATGGCATAGTTTCCAGGGCAAAGGTGATGTACTCTGTGCCTGCCAGATATTCTCCAGGCTCTTAACAGTTGCTGATATCAGTATAGCTCCATGTGCAAGGTGTGTCTGCAGCTCTTGACCTTCTCACTCAAAACCTCCTGGTGTGGGAGCCAACACTCTGCCTTCCCCTTCTGCAGTCCAGTCTTCTCAGGAGGAGCCACCACTTACCCCTCAAGGCACACTCCGCTAGACTTATTTTCTTACCTGCTAATGACCAGGCTCTTGGTGGACACTATGACTTCTAGGCAGGAAGACTGGCCAAATCTTCTTGATGGCTCCTCTTTAAACATTCTCTTGGCTTGAATTTATGTTCAGTATCATAAGTGGGCACAAGAGTTGTGCTCTACCTAACTCTCATCAACTGAGACCTGCTGGTTCCTTCAAAGAGAACATCAAGGTCACAGGATTTTACATGCTGTGCCCAGGACTCTACCTAAGAATAGATGTGGGTACCCAGTATCCCAACAGGGACATTGCAGCAGGTTTTGTCCTGTGCTGTAACAAACATCAGGCATCAGTGTCTGGTGTCCACAGTGAACAGAGATCTCGTCTGGAAAGATCTTTAAGTGGCATGTTACCAGAGAAAAGAATGTACCTTTAGAGTTGGAAAAATGTTAAACTTCCCTGTCTGCTGTCTAGGAGTGACTGCCCTGTCCTTAACTGCTTCATGTGTCACAGACGTGCTTATCCAAGTGGACCTGCTGAAGGGATAGGAGCATTAGATCTCCAGAATGTTTTAGGATATTTTTTTCTTATGAAATCTGGATTTCTTAGGCAGAGCCTGAGACCACTGGAGGGAGGTGCCACCTGATGGAGATGACAGCTTCAGGGGAGCATGCATGGGTACTTCCCCATGTGACTGACACTTCCCTACAATCTGAAGCACAGGAGAATCAAGGGTGATTGAATGGTACCCAACACCAAGTGGGCATCCCGTCAGATAGAAGAGTTAATGAACACTATGTGCTCATCATCCATTTTCAACAATTAATAGGCATTTAGACATCCTAGTTTTATCTAGACTGTTAGATGATAATTAATTGCTTCCTCCCCTGCAGACCCCGGCCAGAAGCAGGCTGGGCTTATGATTTGGTCACAACTGCATCTCTTTCTCATAACTTTCCTTACCATATCCCTTTTTGCAAGCAGGTGTAAAGAAGTGCTTTCTTTATGTCATGCCACCTTAGGCAAGAGATCTTTGAGGATGGGGATTTTTTCATTGATTCCTAAAGTCCTCCCAGTACCCTACAAGGACCTGGCAGGGTTAATGCAGAGGAAACTGTCTGCATGAGAACCTTTACTGGAAGGTCCAGGGCTGAATTGATGTGACACCCCAAGATTCTGTTGGGTAGTCTTGGGTAATCTGTTGGATAGTACGAGAGTGTAACAGTCAGAATATGTCTGAAGCAAATGTTTTGCAGATCAGGCTCCCGGCCAAGGCTGAGCTGAGGGTGGCAAGGAGGTGACCATAATCATAGTGTGGAAGACAACTAATTGTGCAGAACCAACTCTGATGTGCACCTCTCTGTCCACAGCCCAGGACTCTGCCAGCCCCATCCGGACCACAAACATAGGGCAAGTGCGGGGCAGCCTTGTCCACGTGAAAGGCCCCAATGCAGGGGTCCACACCTTCCTGGGAATTCCCTTTGCCAAACCACCTGTAGGACCTTTGCGGTTTGCACCTCCTGAAGCCCCTGAGCCCTGGAGTGGTGTGAAGGATGGGACCTCCCACCCTGCTATGTAAGCTGTCTGAGGAACTGGGGAAGTTCAGCCCTTGGGAGAGTTTGGGTGCCCTGAGCTCAGAGTTAGGCTGAAGTGGTTCTGCCATCTAAATCCTACAGCCAGTTTTCCTCTACATTGGGCAGGGGGATTCTCACTATGAGCATGCTAGGCTCCAGAGGATAGAGGAACTATGTTAGATACTTGGCTCAGGGTTTGGGAGCCTCGTGGTATTAGCTTTAGGTGCTGAAGAGAGGGGCAGAGACACATTTCTTTCTCTTTGGGTTGTGCCACATGTTCTGTGATATTGAGAAGGTCTCTGAACAAGATTCAAGTTAATCTGTGAATCTTGTAAGAACATCTGACCCAGCAGCAGATGCAGCTGATCTCTCAAGAGGACAGTAGTGCTAATCCCTTGGAAACTCTACTCTCTGTAGTTACTGTGCCAACTGACAGGGCAAGGTGCCATGGTCTGGTTCTGTCTTGGAATAACTGTTGCTATTGTCACCAGGTGTCTGCAAGATACTCACATCACTGTTTCAGGGGGTGAGAAGTTATTTAATTTGACTGCACCTCCTCTCTCCATGTCTGAGGACTGCCTTTACCTCAACATCTACACACCTGCCCATGCCCATGAGAGATCTAGCCTGCCTGTGAGTGTCAAGCCACGGTCAGCTTGGGTGTGGGAGGACATTTCTTCTCCAAGATTAGAAGGTGGCGTCTCCAAGATTAGATGTGACTTGGTGATAGACATTTGCCTATAAAGCACAAGGTTTGTGGTTCAAGGCCATGTACCACAAAATCAAACAAAACTGAAGGAGAATAAGATAAGAATGGACATGGTTAGCCTGGTTCTGTTGCAGTGTGGACCCTGCTGTGAAACCTTCTGCTATGGAGGCCAGGAAGGGCTTCTCAGCCAGACTGGGTAACTGACCCCTAGGCTTTAAGTCATAAAACCCCAACTGGTACCAGAGATTGGAGGTCTTGGTGTCCAAGAGCTCTACTTTGAAATCACCCAAGAACCCGGATGTGGTTTATCTGTTGGTCCAGTGAAATAACATTTTTATTAGTGATTAGGCAGGATAATATCAGAAAACCCCCAACCCCCTTTTTCCATTGTCAAGGGTTCTGAGAGTAATAGATCTAGGCTTGGAGTACTTGACCCAAAGTAAGAAAGTCCTGGTCTATCTGACTGAACGTGGGTCTTGTGACACACCCAACTGAACTTGTCACCCATGCTTCAGGTATGTGATCTTACTAGGGTCCTCTGTAATAGTTGCAAAGAGGCTAAGCAGTGAATAGTGTATGAGGAGGCCAGATGGTATTTGGGCTGGGCAAAAGTCATATGTCACAAGTCTTAATTTCCCCAGGTGATGGTATGGATCCATGGCGGTGGGCTGATTGTAGGCATGGCTTCTGTGTATGATGGATCCATGCTGGCAGCTTATGAGGATGTGGTGGTGGTCATTATCCAGTACCGCCTAGGTCTCCTGGGCTTCTTTAGGTAAACCTGGGGTTAATCTGGGAAATAAGGCTGAGCAGAGAAAGGACAGGCCTGTCATTACTGTCTCTGCCACTTTTCAGCACTGGAGACCAGCATGCTACTGGCAACTGGGGCTATCTGGACCAAGTCGCGGCCCTACGCTGGGTTCAGCAGAACATTGCTCACTTCGGAGGCAACCCTGACCGTGTCACCATTTTTGGCGAGTCAGCAGGTGGCATAAGCGTGTCCTCACATGTCTTATCTCCCATGTCCCGAGGACTCTTCCATGGTGCCATCATGGAGAGTGGAGTGGCTGTGATGCCTGGCTTCATCTCCAGCTCATCTGAGGCTATTTCCACAGTGAGTATCCTCAACCAGCCCTGCTCAGGACTCCTCTTTCTTCCCTCACTTTCAGATCCTCTGATGCACTGTCATTCAGTGGGAACAATGAGGGCAGTTGAGGTGCCTCAGGAACTGCTGCCTTCTTAGGAATTGCTGAGATCTTCAAGAGTGAGAGTCTACATACCTCTACCTCTAAGAACCTGAGTGTGTTCTGTGGTTAGCAAAGTGAACTCATGAGGCACCAACTATGGAACCATGAAAACAACTGTGATGGCCCCTCTGGCTGAGACTTCTGATCAGCAGGGGAGATAGAAGAGTTTCATACAGGCAGCAATTTGTACAGGGCATCCTGTGAAATTGGAGTTTACCTGCATCCAACTGAGTCCTCTTCCTACTTGGAAGGAAGAGCCAGTTTCTGCCTGAATTAATTTCAGATGGTGGCCAACATATCTGGCTGTGGGGTTGTTGATTCAGAGGCTATGGTGAGATGCCTACGTGGCAAGAGTGAAGAGGAGATTCTGGCCATTACAAAGGTTGGCTGTTCTCAGATATGGTTGAGGGGGGGTGATACTGTCTGAGAGCATGAGTCCCTTTTATTCTGTACTAATAGTCACATATGCATGAGTTGCTGTCCATGCATTCCTGTATGGGAAGTGTGCATAAAGATGTGCTAAGTCAAGGGTGGGATTCCTGGGGTGGATGTGAGTACCCTAGGGTGGTGAGTTAAAAGGGGGTAAAAACAAGTCATTTGACAATAGAAAATATCTGAGACCTGACTTGCATCCCTGACCTTGAATACTCCATCAGAACTTCATGGCCATTCCTGCTGTAGTAGATGGAAACTTTCTGCCCAGGCACCCCCAGGAGCTCCTGGCCTCTGCTGACTTTCAGCCTGTCCCCAGCATTATTGGTGTCAACAATGATGAGTATGGTTGGATCATCTCCTCGGTAAGGCCCAGTCCCAAGCCCTCAGTACTTTGGGATATGCATTTGGTTTGTAGGGGTCCTGTGGGTTATCAGGTACATGCTGATCCTACCCTCAGCTCTATACTATTCCTTCATTATCCAGGTTATTGGCTCTGCTGACAGCCAGAAGAAAATGAATAGAGAGTCTGTGCAGGCTGTTTTGCAGAGCATGCTAACACAATTGGTAAGGCTCCTGTGTGCCTACCTCAAGACACGCTCAGATTCATGCTCATGCAGGTGTCTCATCAAACAAAAGCTGAACCATGTATTTGGTTGTGGGAAGGGTCACCCCAGGAATTGCCCATTTCTTACAATCCAAAGTCCATGACTCATTACTGTTTTCCCACCCTAAGCTCCTTTCCACACCCAAGAACCTGCCTAACCTGTCTCTCTATGATGTGCCTGAGCTAGATGTTGCCTGCTGAGTTTGGTGACCTGTTGATGGAAGAGTACATGGGGGATAATGAGGACCCCCAGACCCTCCAAGTCCAGTATAATGAGATGATCGGAGACTCTATGTTCGTGATTCCTGCACTCAAAGTAGCACATTTGCACCGTGAGTACATCTGTAACTGAGGTCTCACTTCCTAAGCAGTAGCCTAGAACTATGAGTCCCAAGTGAGCTCCGTGGAGTCCAGGTCTGGCCTCATATTTTATTGAGCTTCTAGTGCCAAGTACTTGATGGTCCTCATCTCAGTAAATCTTTGTGGTTAAATCTCAAGCAAAAAAGAGTAATTCTGGAGGGTCACAGTTCCTGATTTGTGCTCATCAACAGATGAACAGATAAAGAAAATGTGTGTATATCATAGAATATGACTTAGCTATAAAGCTGAAGGAACTCATATCATCGGCAAGAAAATGGGTGGCACTGCAATTCTTCAGTAAAATGAGCCGTACACAGAATGTCACATAGTATATATTTTCTACAAGGGAGAAATATGGAGGAAAAAGGGAGAGGTGACATAAAAGTAGGAAAACTAGTAAAGGAGAGGAAGGGAATTGGGAGGGAGGAAGAAGGAGGAAAGTGGGAATGAGGGAGAATGATCACTATGTTGTACACATGTACAAATATGCCAAAATGAAACCCACTAGTCGGTTTATCTAACATGCACTAAAAATTATTTTCCTACCTGATGTGAGAGACAGATACATTTCTCATTATACAGTGAAGAAACTGATGAGACTGACAGTCAGTGAGCTACCCGAGCTGCTCAGCTGGGAAGTCCAAGGTCGTGGCTTATCCAAGGCCCTTGCCTTTGTCCCTGCTGCAGCCTGGGGCTCCTTCCCAAACTGTTCACTTAAGTGTTTCATTACCAAGGGTGAGACAGAAGCTCTAGTTAAGCAGTCACTAAGTCACAGCTGTCCACACCTTCAGGTTCCCATGCCACCGTCTACTTCTATGAATTCCAGCATCCTCTCAACTTCCTCAAAAACACCAGGCCACCCCATGTGAAGGCTGATCATGGTGATGAGGTTCCCTTTGTCTTTGGAAACTTCTTTTGGGGTAACCAAGGTGAGTCTCTTTGACATGCAGGAACAGGCTCTAGCTGGGTCCCTGAGTTGTGACTTTACCCATAGTCCAGATGAGCAAGTTGAGGCCCAGAGAGAGGTCGGGATCTGTGTGCACTATCTTAGAAACTTATCTTAGATCTGTGTCCACATCAAGAAAGTGTACTGGGATTAGAATCCAAGCCCTTGAACTCAGTGGTCCCTCCTCCAACTGTCCTTATCTTGACTATGTGGTCCAGCATGGGTGAAAAGGGAAGAGGGACTGTCTCGAAGCATATTTGTTTTTTTAGTGACTTACCAGAGTCAAAGGAAGAAGGGACTTTCTGGGCCCACACTGAGCCCTGGACCAATTCGAATAGAGGCTGAGATGAAAAAGGTTGGGCAAGGGGAGGGGTGGCTCTAAGGTAAGTGGAAAAGGAGAAGACTAGACCTGATCTACAGCTTAGTGATGAGATTGGTACATGAATGTGCAGCAGGGTAATGTGATGAGCATCAGTCCAAGACCTGGGCTTTTGTCCTCCTTCTCCCTGCAGCTCACTTCACTGAAGAGGAAAAGCTACTGAACAGGAAGGTGATGAAGTACTGGGCCAACTTTGCACGAAATGGGTGAGGGAATACCCCCCCCCCTCAGTGTTTGCATGGTGTGTGACCCTATCAGGTGCATCTCTTACCTGTAGGGACTCTGTTAGCATATGTGTGTCCTTAAATCGTGCATTGACTCTATTGCAAAATCAAGAATTGTGTGGACAGAGAAAGGGGTCTTGCCAGTACAGGTCACTTATCTGTCTTCCAGTGACCTGGTGGTGGCCATAGTACTGTGGTTCTGTCACAGCCTGCTTCTAAGAAAGAGGGGCAAAACAGGACTAGTAACCCTGTCTCACATGGAGGGGACACTAGTGGGATGTCCTTGTTCTCTGTATCAGGAAAAGTTCCCTTTATTTCAGCACTTGCCAGCTTAGCTTCCAGTCTTGATGCAGTCAGCGCACTCGGGAGGGGCTCAGCAGGACTCAGACTGACCTCTAACCCTCTGTTGGGAGGGTGTGTCCACAGGAACCCCAATGGTGAGGGCCTGCCCCACTGGCCTGCACTAGACCATGAGGAGCTGTACCTGAAGCTGGATATTGAGCCTACTGTGGGCCGTGCCCTGAAGGCCTCCAGGCTGAAGTTCTGGACAGAGACCCTGCCCCGGAAGATCCAGGAGCTAAAAGGGGCTGGGGAGAAGCACACAGAGCTGTAACTCCCTGTGTGGGAGGGAAGGGTGGGCGTAAGTGCAGGTAGGGTCTGCCTATACACACCCACACACTCACAGCCATTCATCCTTCAGCCATCCATCCATTCAGCCCTCGCTGCCTAATGTTGCCAAGCCTATCTTGTGTCTTATGATTTGTATCTAGAAGTCTCTCTAAAGCCTTAAGTGGTCATAGCTGGGGTTTTCAAAAGATTACTGGATCTAGGGTATGTGACGCTAGTATTGATTCATGGTGTGATGCTAGATTAAGGGTGCCCCACCCTGGGTGTGACTGATACCTGCCATGAGAGTGAGTAGTCTGGGTAAGATATAAGGGACAGGATATAAGGGATATAAAGCTTGCTGCGGTCACTTGTCATTTGCTGCTTGCTGCCTCCTTCCTGGTGTGAACTATTTCTCCTCTGTGATTCACCTCTGCCATGACAACTTGCCTTGCAGCCAGTCAACTATGGACCTAAACCTGTACACACTGTGAGCCAAAATAACCTTTCCTCCTTTAACTCTGGGTGTTGGGTATTTTGTGTCAGCAAAAAGAAAAGTAACCAAGATACCCAGGAAGCTGTGGATGGCAAGTCCCAATGGACATCCACTTTCCTCCACCTCCACACTGGATCTGGACCCCTTTTCATTTTCTTACTGTATCTTCATGCCTCTACTTTTTGACTTACCAGCCCCCGCCCTTGCCTGAGATGAAAGTGATGCCCAAGAATGTTATCCGCACCTGGGTGTCAAAATTCTTTTTACCTCTCAATAATTCCATCTGTGTTCATATCTATATAGGCCAACAGAAAGCCAGATTACATGAACCTAGGCTCTTTGTATGTCCAGGCTGCTGTAAAACAGTATCATAAGCTGGGTGGCTTCTAAACAGCAGAGATTTGTTTACAGATCAGGAAACTAAGAAGTGGACAACAGTATACTAGCAGACTTGACTTGTTCTCTGGCTCATAGATGCCACCTTCTCACTGTGGCCACGCTTGGTAGAAGGGGTAAAACAATAGCCCTCATGACCTTATTACCTCTTAAGGGCTTCACCTATCTGACCATCAAATTAGAGATTAGGTTTCAGCTTTTGAATCTGGGGGTTGTCACCAGGTTGAAAGAGCATACCTAGAGTTCTCCAAGGTTGCCAACTACTGAAAATGTCTTTATTCATCCCACCCATATTAAATATCACCTACAATTAACTTGTCAAACAACTCACTCACCTCTCTTTCTGTCCAGAGAAGTTACAGGCTCCGTTTTTGTGAGAGTCAGTACTGCTAATGTCCGCTTGCCCTTGGAGCCTGCACCAGTTGGTTCAGGAGAGCAGCCAGGTCCTCAATGAGTGGTCTGTTGAAGTTTACTCGTTTTCATGGTTTCTGCCGACAATGTTAGGTCCACATATACGTGATCATTGTGGACCAGCAAAAAGGTTTCTGTCAGATGTTCTAGAAGTAGTATTGGAAAGTCTACATATGTATAGCTGAGAATATTCCATTCCCTGGCTCCCTGGTGGTCTCTACACTCAGGCAGATTTTGAGAATTCCCCTTGAATTTTTTGCAATGAGGAGAATTCCTCCTTATTATGTGTTTCCTATCATTTTTGGTCATGAGTGTGACTAGTTTTCACTTTATTGTTTTTCCTAAACTGTTTTTTTGACTCTCCAATAAAAACTTATTATGTATTTGTGTCTCATTGTACAGGTTTGTAAATTGTGTTCAAACTGCTTCTTTGTTGCCCCCAAATACTTTCCCTATGTTGAAATGCTATAACCCTTGCCCCATATTCTGAGATACCCTCTTATGCTCCAGTAGCAATCTTTGGCCAACTTGTCATCCTGGGACACTCTTCCCTCTTTCATCCACTACATTTAATATTAAATATAGTGTATTATAATTGTTAAAACATGAAGATGTTCACATTACTCACCCTGCACTCCAGGTGGCTGATAAGGAGCACATTAAGCTTGGGCCGAGACACTTGGTAGAGAGTAGAGACCTCATTTTCAGTGCATCCTCACTGGCACATATGGTGATACTTCAATGTGTCCTAGAAGAGTTATTGAAATCTCGTTGCAAACATGCCTCTGTATGGTTTTCAGTTCCTGTATTGCACAAGTTACCCTAAAAGAGGGTTCCTTGGATATTTCTTAGATCTTAGTAATAACCTTATTTTAAGAGCTTTATTGTATGATAATTTAAATAGAATTAAGTTACCCATTTTACTTGCATAATTTAGTAAATGTAGGAGACATCCAACCACTACTATATCATGTTAAAAATGTTTTATCATTGCAAAAGCTCTCCTCATGCCACTTTATAGTCATCACTGTGGTTTCTGGCAACCACCTAACTGCTTTCTCTGGTTCTGCTTTTCTCTTTCTGTAATATACAAAGGGAATCTTTTGTGATGGTTCTGTCACTTAGCATGTTTTTGAGATTCAAGCTGTACTTCTTTCCTTCCACTGTGGGTGGCCTTCTATCACACGTCCTCTCCCCAGGTGATGCGCATCTGAGTGACTTCTGTACTTTGCTATTTTAAACAAAGCTGTTCTGAACACTTCCAGTCATGTCTTTGTGTGGTACACGCTTCTGTGTGAGCCCTTAGAGTGGAGATTTCTGGTGCAGTGACAGCATGGAAACATGGCCACGCCTGGGCTCACACCAGTGCTGTTTGTGTATCTAGGTAACATTTGCTGGGCACCCACAGCAGAAGCAGTTTTCAGAAATCTTGTAACTGATTAAAGCATTTCTAACAACTGGAGCGTAAACTGTGTGGCCATAATCCATTTATGAAGTAAAAAACTCCCCTGACTTTTAAGGGCAGAGTTGCATGACGAAGCATTTCATCCCCATGAGTAACACTGCCCAGCAGGTTACCACAGAGGATTTCACCAGGTTTGACTAAATACTGATATGGTTGAAAGATATTTGAATAGATGAAATAGTGAGGATAAGAACTGCAAAGCTAAAATTGAACTACTTGGGTGATCTGCAAAATCAGCTATTACTGAAGATTGTGTCAACGACTCTGAGCTGCTGTACCAACAGTGTGTCTGATGCTGCAAATACTTCCTACAGAAGTCCTATTAGGGTTGGCAAGGTCTTCCTACCTAACTCTGCCTTCTTGATCCTGTGCACAAGCTCCAGGCCCTATGTATTTCTTTTGCTGCCCTGATGTTTTTTATCTTAAAAATAATTATAGCTTGATGTGGTGGCACACATCTGTAATTTCAGCACTTGGGAGGTTAAGGCAAGAGGATCACTGGGGATTTGAGGCCGGTCTGGGCTATATAGTGAGTTCAAGCCAGTCTGAACTGATAACGAGCCTCTGTCTCAAAAAAAGATCCCCCCCCAAAAAAAACCCCCAAAACAACAACAAACTCAAACAAAGACATTGTAAGCACAAATTTGTTGTATTTGCAAAGGAAGCATTTATGGGGTACAGTAAGTGTTCTTAAACTGATTGAACCTCTCACTTGTTCCTATTTACGAAAGAGTGAAATGGATATAGAATAGCAAAATGGCACAGTGAAGTGAAAATGATTCAAAGGCCCACATCAGCCTCTGAGCCTCTGAGCACAGCAAGACCTGGATAGTCTGCTCCACCTTGAGTGAGTGCAGGGCCAGTGACCTCTGCTCTGTTGTAAACTTCTCTCTTCACAAGCCACTAAGAGAGGCATCATAGCCCCATCCACAGCAACTATTCACCGACATTAACAGTGTTTTAGCTCATGCACACTCATTGTGCATATTTGTGCAGGTGTATTGTGAGGATAAGGTGATTTTCACACTTGGGATGACAGTTTGCAGTGGTGCACATATTTCCATAAATGCCCATCAGAATCCTCCCCCTTGCTTCTAGGAACACTTCTCCCATCATTCTTGCCACTTTCTGAAGCAGTTCTGCTGCTCTTCTTTCCGGAATGTAGTTTAATTGCACTATTTTGGCTGTGTCCACATCTGAGTTAATTCTGAGCCTTTATTTTTCAAGGTCATTTTGACCTTGAGGAAGGGGGAGAAGTTTCATAGTTTTGGCTCTGGCTAATGAGGTGGATGAGGATGCACGGTCATGTTTTTACAAGTCTGTCCTGTTGGATGGCCTTGGCAGCGGCATTCACCATTTTGATCACAGCTTGTAAGGATTTGAAGTGGGAAGGCTTCTGCAGCTGCTCTAGAGAGTAGTAAGGTATGTTCCAAGTGAGGGGGAATTTTTATTTTTTTGGTAGGATGTGTATGTGCGTGTGCGTGTGTGTGTGTATGGCAGGTTTTCTTTTGCTGAATTAAGCTTTTTTTTTTTTTTAAAAAAAGAACCCTCAACTGCTTATTTTGATCACACCTCGTACATTTAAATTAGGAAACAGATTGGTGAAATTTATCTTTAGCATTTTTAATGTTTGTTGGTTCTGTTTAGTTTATTTCATAAGGATGTTTGCTAGTTTGCTGCAACTTGAACCACTTTCCTCTACAAATTTAATTTGATCCAAAGAGAACAATACTTATATGCAGTTGGCCTTATGGACAGTTGAGTGATATGTCTGTTTTATATGCACATATAACTCAAATGTCAAATATTAATTGGCTTAAGTGTAAAACATAAGTTAAAAAGTTGGAGAAATTTCTGATATGTTTGTAGGCTCAAATATTGATATGTTAACAATTTTAATAAACAAATATAGGTAATTTCATTGCAATCTCAAATCCATATGGATATCAGAAAAGGGGACCCAGCCAACTATGAGTCCAGCAGGCAAGGAAGAACTTTCAGGGTAAAAGGTACAGTCAGACCTCCCTGCCTTTGCTCAAGCTGTTGCCTTCAACTCCATTAAAGTCCAGTCCCATTCTCAGTTTGAGGGGATCCTTTGTGCTCTTTTAGATTGTGAGTGTGTCCAAGAGACCTCATATTTTTAAAAGATGATTTGATCACGGAGGTGCTATAGCTGAACTTGCTGTTCGAAGTTGTGATCAGGGGTTCTGGGTCACTGAGGGCATGACCCAGAAGGATGTATCTCTTCTCAGATGCCTCTCTTCTCTCTCTACTTCTTGTGGCCAGCTTCAAGGCTATCCAGGTCCTTCTATCATGCTGTTTCTGCATTATAGCCCACTGAGTATGGACTGAAACTTCTGAAATTGTGGGCCAAGATAAACACCTCTTTTAAGTTGTGAGTGTCAACTATTGTGGTGAGGGAAGTGATTAAAATACTCCTGTGCCTCCTCAGAGCAGTCTCTCAGCTTCTCCAACTACAGTTTCTTGCTCCCTCCTCTTCCCCTCTAACACTATCCTTGGACCTAGGGCTGCAAGGTCAGTGAACACAGTGATTTCAGGCCTGAATTTCAGGACAGAGTTTCTCATATCCCACTTGATCTGTAGAAGCCACATGGTGCATTTGAAGGAAACCAAAGAGGACCAGAGCAGAGGGGAGGTGACCATGCCCTGCCCTGCTGGCCACTGGTTCCCAGAGACTGCCCGCTCAGTGTCATTTCCTGGCAGCACCCTCTTGCCCTGCCCATACAACACTCTGCTTACTCTCTGCCAGGTCCAAACTCCAACTTGGCAAGGCCCTGCTTGGCTACCTCTCAGTGAATGCAGCTTACTAAGCCGCAGTGCAGGAACTGGCTTGCAAGCCGATCATGACCATGGGGCTGGACGTACACTCTGGAGAACTGAAGGTACCTGGTAGGCTCTTGCAGCTGTGGCAGGGATCATGCCTTGGCCTGACAAATTGTGCAGAGGCAGAGCTTGAGACTTCCAGAGGGAAGATGACCCTCTGGAAGGAAGAGCTGGTAGAGATGACAACAAGAGAAGGTGAATCTGACTGACACCTCCCTGCACAGAGAGGATCATGGGTGACTGAAGAGTGCACAGCATGCAGGATGGGTCTTGTCTGGGTAGAGAAAAAAGTTAACAGATTCAAGGTGCCCATTTTCTACTTTCAGCAACTAGAACATGGGCAGCCAACAACTAGAACATGGTCAGGTGATTTTCAATTGCTTTCTCCCTGCATGGCCTCAGCCACAAGCAGGCTGGGCATTTCACAGTTGTCATAGATGCAAATCTTTCTCGTCACTCTTCTCACAACATGATCATTAGATGGAGGATGCTTTCTTTATGTCATGTAACCTTGAGGGCAAGAGTCCATGAGAATGGGAGATTTTTTCCATCAACTCCCCTAGTCCTCCTTGTGCCTCGTAGAACCTGGTGGGGTTAGTGCAAAGAACCCTCTCCCCTCAGTGCATGAGACTCTTTGCTGGATGCTCCTGGGCTTGAATGGCAGTGTCAAGTACTAAGGAGCCTGACTGGGCCTGTTGGCATAGGTTGGGGACAGACCCAGTGATGGGAAGGAACTGAATGGAAAAGCCAGGAAGTGTGTGAAACCAGAATTTTCAGATCAGGCTCCCTTGACAATGCTGAGTTAAGGATGGCAAGGAGGGGGCATCTGAATAGACAGACCCAAATCTAAAGTGTGTTTTCCTGCTGCATCCCATACCTCTACCAGTCCTATTAAATCATAAACATCAGGCAGGTGTGGGACAGCTTCATTCACGTGAAGGGCACTGATGTGAGGGTTCACACTTTCCCAGGAATATCTCGAAAATTTGCAAAACCATGAGTAGAATTACCACAGTTTGAGCTCCATGAAGCGTCTGAACTCAGAAGTAGTATGAGCAATGGGACCTCCCATCC